GTTGTGAGTCATTTACGTGATATAGGGTATAAAACGCTAACATTTTTTAAAACTATCACTTATTATTTGGACGTAAATTTTTTTTACTTCGAATTATAATAATAATATAAAGGTTTTTTAAATGCGTTGTAGTGGTGAATTACTAAAGTTAAACTGGTTTTGGAAAACTTTAACAATTTCTACAGACTTGCTCCAGCTTAAACTTTGTGCTCTAACCACTGCGGCCGTGGCGCAGTGGTTAGAGCGCTTGTTTTATAAGCAGGAGATCCAGGTTCGAAACGAGCTCTGAACATATTTTCGTGTCATGATAAGGAAGGAGGCACGAACTTCCTGGTTAAATGCACTTTCGTGGTGCTCTGTGACAAGACCGGTAGGTCTTCTTGGGGCACCTAAAAAAATTAAAAAAAAACAAAATTCTATAAAAAATAAGAAACAAAATATGTGAAGCAGTTTGTTATATCAGTACAGAATACTAATTCTTATTGACGTTTTAACAAAGTCATTCATGCTAGTAACACGACTTAAGAAGTTTTAAATATAGAAAACTTTTACTGCTAATAGCTAAAATTGTTGTATGTAACTTTCATATGGAAATACAACTTTCATATAGAAATATAATTTTCATATAGAAATAAAATTGTCTAAAAATGATAAAAGAAATCTATAAAATAAATCTATTCAAAAAAAAATTAAAAAAATTGTAAACGAAATAAACACATTGTACAAATCTCCCTTCAAACCCCAATTTCAAATACCAATTTTTTATGCAGTTTTGGTTAATATTATTGGTAGATTTAAAAATAGTTTTAGTGCCGCTAAATGTGCAGTGTAGCATATATGTGCATGAAATGAAACACATAAAAATGATTCAGTTTTGTTATAAAACATTTGGGTGCACTGTTACACTCAAAACATTGTTGTATAAAACATTTGGGTACAATGTAAAATGCTTTTACAGAGTGCAAATTAGAAAGCTTGATACAGTAGTCAAGAATTTGATACAGTAATCCATCATTTTTGCTAAGATAAAGTGGAGAAAGCAATTTTGTTTTAAAAAACTGTTCTCTATAAAAACACTTTCATTTACAATTATAAAAACATTTCATATATTGATTTTTTGAAGATTTTTCCTGGAAAATTAAATTTTTTTTTTTTTAATTTTTTGAACTGAAATGTATCTTAAAATTTTTTTTCAGTTTATTATATTTTGAAAGACTTTAAAAAATGCTGCTACCCTAACTGAAGAACTAAAAAAAAGTAAGCGTAGAAGAAAGATTGGTATAACCACGGAAATGTTTACATTCTACCATATTAAACATATACACAGTGTTTAAGTAATTGTTATCCCCAGTTAAATTTGCAGAAAGCTAATCTGTTTTATAGGGTAATAATAACATTATTAAATGGTTTTAATAATAAAAAAAATTGCAAAACAAATGATGGCGAAAATTATGATAAATTATGATAATGTTTAACAAAAAAGAAAAGACATATTCATCTTGTTTTAACGAGAACTTTGTTCAAACAGACTTTTGCTTTAAATTCATCAAAGGCACCCTATAAAGTATACTTATCAATTCTTCAGATATCTTATAACTTATCTTCATTGCCATTGGCTAGTTTTTTGTTTTTTTTTTAATTATAAAATTCTTTTTTTTAAATTTATAGCTTTTTTAATGTTAACAAATATCATTCAAGTTTTTCAGAAATTTATTAACAGTCTTTTGAGACTTCAATAAAAAAACGATCGCAGTTGTGTGCAGTAATTTAATTCTTAAGTAGGAAAACATTTATTTCATAAAGAGTTACTTGCTGAGTATCAAAATTACCAACTAAGTGATAAAGGTAATATAAGAATTTTTAAAAAATTTTAAAAATATGATAAGAAAGATAAAACCAAAGTGATTTCAGTCAATATTAACAGTTTTCACTTCATTGAAAACTGAGTTTTTGAAAATTGAAATCAACTTTTTCAATACTGTTGTTGCAAAATTGAAACTGTTTTTTAAATTCTCATTTATCAAAATAAAATCAAAATAAAATCAAAATAAAATCAAATTATAAATTCAAAAACATGTTTAGTGTTTATAAAATTAGTCCCACTGATCCTTGAGGAACATTATTTTCATATTGTCAGTTGTCAAAAGTTACCAAGTATTACGTAACAAAATTTTTTCTTATTCTTTTATTTGATATAAATTATCTAAAATATGGTAACACAGATTGGGGTTACATAGAATATTTTATTGTTATTTTTAAACTTGCGGCCTAAGAGCAAACATTTTTTGAAGATTTTTTATTGCCTAAATTTTTACTAAAGCTCATAGTATTAACTACCGAGCTAACACAAAACGTTCAAGAACGTTCGACGAACGTTGTGAACGTTCGAGTACGTTCTATGAAGGTTAATAGAATGTTCTTGAATGTTCGCAACGTTCGTTTAACGTTATGTGTTAGTTGGGTAATAACGATTAAATTTAGTTTTTAAAATATCTTTGATTAAAGAGCTGCCAAAAATTTGCTCAAATAGTTTAATTTAACAGACAACATAAGTATTTGAAACCAGGGGTGTGGAGTCGTAAAAAAAAAGTAACGACTCCAACTCCAGTTGTTGAAAAAGTGCGGCCGTGGCGCAGTGGTTAGAGAGCTTGCTTTAGAAGCAGGAGATCCAGGTTCGAAATGAGCTCTGGACATATTTTCGCGTCACAGTAAGGAAGGAGGCGTGAACTTCCTGGTTAAATGCGTATCCGCGGTGCTCTGTGACAAGACCGTTAGGTCTTCTTGGGGCACCTAACTAACATAAAAAATATATATATATTTTGAGTAACTCCGACTCCAACTCCAACTCCAAAGCAAAATTTTTGAAAAATTCTTTGAATTCTTTAAAAAATATTACGCGATAAGTTAAAAGTTCTTTTTTTGACAAATTTATAAAACGTTCTTTAAGGTTTAGTATAAATATAAGGTTAATTAAATGTTTTGTACATGCACGTGCAATACCGAGAAGTTTTACTATTGGAATCGAAGTCGCGATTTTGTTTAACGACTCCGACTCCGCTGAAAATGTCGCAACTCCGACTCCGACTCCAACTTCACAGCCCTGTTTGAAACATATGTTTCAAATAATCCATTGAACACACACACATATATATATATATATATATATATATATATATATATATATATGTTAGCAACAATAGAGATGATATTTCTTTTTTTATTTTAATTTGTTCCCAACGAGGCTGCAATCAACAACTATTAAATTGGGAGTTAATAGGAAACATAAAGTACCTTGAAATACTTCAGTGAAAGTGACGTAAGTGCAACCTACAAATTGGCATAAGTGGAAAACAGCTGCAAAAGTAAGCATAAGTGCAAACTGGCGTAAGAGCGGGCTAGCGTAAGAGCAAAACAGCTGCAAAAACTCTAATAAGTGCGAATCGGCATATGGGCAAATTGGTTAAGTGCAAACCTAATGCTAATGTTTTTAAATTCTTTTGACGCATTTATGCTAGTTTTTAAAAATATTTTTGGCGTATATATCCCAGTTCACACGTATGTTAAGTTATGCTTCCTGTTATGCCAGTTCACAATTATGCCAATATTTTCAAATTCTTTTAGCGCACTTATGGCAACTCACACTTAATCCAGTTTGCACTAACACCAGTTTTTGCAACTGCTTTGCACTTATGCCAGTTTGCACTTATGAAATTCGCATTTATTCAGTCTTCCGGGGTTAGTTATTAAACTTTTTTTTTCATTTTAAGGCCCCGGTTGGGCTCTTATAAAATTCTTTTGAATACGATTTAAAATATTACTCAAATTCATTCTCTCTAAGACTGTTCTTTAATATTTATTCAAAATTAATGCCTTCAAGGCAAAAGACCTTAATGAGTAAAATAAGAGGCAACAAGCCTTGCTCATCCCTACTACTTTACCATCTTAAATCAACCTACTACTTTACCATCTTAAACTTACCATCTGTTTATAAATGCAATTACAATTTATGTTTGTCATATTATGTGTTTTATTTAGTACTTTAAATTATTTTTTCGCGCTTTCAAATCAATTTTGATTTACTATTCTTAAACAATCTTTATCATCTTTTGAAGTTGTTTTTAGTTTTCGACATTATCCGGGACGAATTTCAAAAGTATTTCACTTGTTTGTATTTTCACACAAATATTTGTATATGGTTGCAAAATAAAATCTATTACAATCAATTTGATCCTATATCAATATAATACATGAACACAAAATATTTGATCAATCAAAAATGTAACATATAATATAATAATGAACTCTTTTTAAGAGAGTTTGCGATTTTTCTTTTTTTAATTTAATTGTAAAAAAAACTTTTGTAATAAATATATATATATATATATATATATATATATATATATATATATATATATATATATATATATATATATATATATATATATATATATATATATATATATATATATATATATATATATATATATATATATATATAAATCAAATTTATTTTTATCAACAACTTCATTATTTATGCTGCTTCATTTATTTGCAATAACATTTGTGAAGATAAAAAACGCTTTTACTTTTGAATTATGAATTGTTTGTTTACGTATCCTTTCATTATGACCTTTAATTAGTTGTCCATAATTTATAAACTGTATAATAAACAAATGAATACTTATTTTTAATTATAAAAGTTTTTTTTTTAATATAAAAAAATAATTTACATTAAAAAAGGCAGGATCATTAAATGTCTTAAAGTATACACTAAATTTAAGAAGTTTTTCTCGGAATTTTGTAAAAAGTTCACATGGAAATAAGATATACTGTATTACTTATGCCGCGTATTATTTCTTATTTTTATATCTGTTTTAATAATTTTGTGTTAATAAATGAATGTTATTTAAACTTTCGCATATATGTTTGTACAATGATTCCCGAATTAGTTAAAATCAGCTGGCTCACTGATATCAATTCACCTGCGCACACAAACCCAATATTTCCCTGCAAATCTTACCACTTTCTGATTTTTTACATTTAAATATTTTTGTTAGAGCAGACACATAAGCTAAACTGTTCCGTACAAATGCTAACTTTATGAGAGTTAACATTAACTGTGTATTATAAAAGAAATTAGTTAATAAAATGTTAAAAAAATATTATTATATTGGTTGTTAAACTGTTAATTAACTAATCTAAAACAGGTAAAGGAAATTATGCAATTACTTTAATATATAATATATGAGATTGATATATATTATATAATTTGTGTATTTAGCTTGATATAAAATATATAAATTCTCAAACATTAAAAACGCTTCGTAGGCCCCTATATTAGGGCCGACGACACCGGGAGAGGGGGAGGCCCAGGAAACACGTGCCCCCCTACTTTTTTTCAGAAAACTTTTTTTTTTTCTTTTTTTTTTAAATATAAGAAAGTTCTAGATATAGACGACTTTTTTTAAGAATTGTCGGTTGTGCCCCCCACTTCGAAACCCGTATCGTCGGCCTTGTATATATATATATATATATATATATATATATATATATATATATATATATATATATATATATATATATATATACACATATATATATATATATATATATATATATATATATATATATATATATATATATATATATATATATATATATATATATACACATATATATATATATATATATATATATATATATATATTATATAAATATTATATATATATATATATACATATATATATATATATATATATATATATATATATATATATATATATATATATATATATATATATATATATATATATATATATATATATATATATATATATATATATATATATATATATATATATATATATATATATATATATATATATATATATAGCACAACTAACTTCTGAAGTTGCTAATATAAAGTTGTTTAAAAATTGTTCAATATAAATAAGCAGTGCTCATAAAAGTTTTAAGTTATTTGAAATTTTTACCCGATGCGATCGCAAATTTCAAAAAACTAATCAGAATGAAAATAACTATATTATAATAAATAAATTATTATATATTATAACTATTAAAAATAAATATATATTACAATAAACTGACCAAAATTAATCATAATGAAAACTTGAAGGTAGAAAAAATAATTGTTTATTAAAAAAGGTTCAGAAAAGCATTTACTACATTTTTATTTTATATATGCTCCCTCGGCATCAACAACAGATTTTTAATCACATATTTTTGTTTTTACGTTTAACCATCATCTGTTATTTTTACTGAGCGACTTTTCGCCATATACATGTTTAACTAACTTTATTGCTTGTAACCATTTGTTAATTTTTATATCAGTCACTTATTTTAACTTTTAGGTTGACTTATCTTTTGTTGATTTTGTTTTAACATTTAAAAGAAAATCATTTTGTCGTTGAGAAAAGGATATTCTATTGTTTTAATGACCCTTAACTTCATTGTCACATCCTGCATTATATATTAAATTTACTTAAAATGAAATCAAACATTTTTTAGTTTTGAGATAACAAACCGTTGTTGTAAACAAACTATTTTGCAACTTATGGAAAAAAATATTTTGTTTAAAAGATACATAGTTAAAATCAAAATAGAGAAAATGGAGTCGGTGATTTTTAATGTTGATTGATAGTGATACTGCTATTAACATATTCTAACAAATTTTTAATGAAACATAATCTAAAATTTTTACATACGGCTTTTACACCAACGAGGTTAGGAAAAAACATTAGAAAAAATTAATTATTATTTAAAAATGAATTAATCTAATAAATTAATACAAAAATATTATAACTATTAATTACAAGTTAATAACAAAATAATAATAACAAATAAATTTTTAAAACAAGTTATTTTAAGTATCCGGTCAGTACAAATTATCAGTAACCATCTTAGATAATATCATACTAGTTTATTACCATAACAACTTGTTTTATTATAACAACCGTGGTTTGTTTTTAATAGCTGAGTACCAAATTTTATCTTTAGGAGAACTTTAAATTTATATTTTTACATTTTACTGTGTTTTTTTTGTTAGTTTAACTCATTTTTCATTTTTAATAGACTTTTTAGTCTAATAAAAATGAAAAATGAGTTAAATCATAGCTGGGTTACATTTAATTCATAGATTATATTTTAAGGCAAGTTGATTAAAGGTATTTTAATTCAATTTTTTTTAACAAAGAATTTTTCAATTTTTAAAAACTAACTTTAGACAAAATTCCAAAATATTCCATTCTTCACCAAGATTACTTACATTCTCCACCTAGTTTACATACGTTACTGATATAAACCTATTATTTAGGAAATTACAACATGGTTGCTTATATGTTTTCAATGGTTATCGGTATTATTTTTATAGTTGAAGCAGAATTAACTATGGCTGCAATGAAACCAACTATGACTGCAATGATGAGCGAATCAACTATGGCTGCAATAAAAAACTCCTTCAATAATACTTTTATTTTAAAC